ATAATCTATTAGTAATAACTAATAGGAACTAAGGTTTACTATTATCTTTTATAGGTAGGTTAACTATAAAATCTATAGATATTTAGGACTAGTATTATAACATAACTAGTATAGGTTATAATAGACCCTATTAGCGCTTCTAGGAGATATAAGCACTATAATAATAGTAGTTCTAAATATACTGCGTAATGTCTTCTAATATTCTATCCTAATAATAGTTATAGCGCAGTATTTAAAATATTATATTCTTCCCTAGATATCCTACTAAACCTAATTTATGTGCTTGCTATATAATAGTAGTTATAAGGGGTTCCTATATTAGTAACTAAATAACGCCCCTCTAAAGTAAAGTGCTGTGTGCGCTAATTATATAGTCCCCTATCTATTACTTTATATTAGCTAAAACTAGGAAAGACCTAGTGCCTTTCTAAACTATATTAAGACGCACTTAGTATATCTTATCTTCTAATACTGCTTTGTCCTATAGTGTCTGTATATATAGGTTAGTAAAGAGGCTAGCGCCCTTTAGTAACTTAGACGCCTCCTCTACTTCTAACGCTGTAACCTAGATTAATTTAGGGCGTATTACTAACTATAGTGTTGCTTTAGAGGAGTTTAAATCTTATAGTTGCCTACTTAAGGTATTAGGTTATCCTATAAGATAGCTAGGTCTATACTATAGGATATACTAGTATTTTAAAAGTTCCTCTACCTAGCAGCACTATTGCTTGCTTAAGCTTTAAAGGCTAGTAAAGTACTCTAGGTTTTTATAGTCTATAAATATTATAAATAGCTTATAAACGCTCTATAGCTCTACTAACTAACTTTTAAGATACTCTATAATAGCTAGTAATTCCTTGTTATATATAGTATAGTTTTGTCTCTCTAGTATTAGTACTATAGAGTAGTAAGTAACTAGGCGCTAGACGCCCCTAACTTTTTGTAATAAGCAACCCCTAAGAGTGTATCCTAAATAGTCTGCTTCTAATAACGTTTCTTTAGCTAGGTCCTATTACGTTAGTACTAGTCTAGATATAAATACCTTTTTTAGTGTATTAAATACACTCTATTCTTCCTCTCCCTATTAGAAAGAGGTATCCTTCCTAGTTAGTTAGTTTAAAGGCGCTACTACTTTAGAAAACTTTATAATAAAATCGCGGTAGAAGTTAGTAAAACCTAGAAAACTCCTTACCTCTCTTATATTCCTAGGGGATTCCTATTCCTATACTGCCCTAAGCTTTTTAGGGTTAGGTCTAAGTAATTTGCCTACCTTAATAATATAGCCTAGGTAGCGTACCTCCTTAACACTAAATATACACTTCTCTAAGTCTAGGTGTAGTCCTGCTTCTTTTAATAGTATAAGTATATGCTTTACTTTTTCTATATAGTTAAACTAGTCTCCTCCTAAATAAATTAGGATATTATTAAGGTAGGCTATTATATATAATCTAAGTAACTCTATAAGCGCAGTATTAATATATTATTAGAAAGTAGATAGCGCACTACTAAGACTAAATAGATATACTAACTATTTATATAACCTAAACTAGGTATAGAAAGCTATTAAGGACTTATAACCTTGTACTATTCTAACTTTATAAAAGGCAGCGTAAATATCTACTTTTATAAACTAATTTACGCTAGATAGTATACGCAAAGTTTCCTTAATAAGTAGTAGTAGATATTAGTCTAATATTATTATACTATTAAGTATCTAGTAATCTATATAAAGGCGCTAACTACCTAATAGCTTCTTTACTAGTAATACTAGTAGCTCTAGCTATAGAAGAGCTCGCATTAGATCTAGCCCTTATTTATTAATCTAGTAAGTTATACTCTTAGTTCTAGTAATTAACTATAAAATATAGGGTATAAGGGACCCTATAGGGGGTTAGGCTAGGTTCTCTCTAGGAAGAGTTATTAACTAAATATAGTAATCTATACTACCTTAATAAGGTAGCAAACTACTTGCTAACTCCTTATTAAACAGGTCCTTAAACTCTTATAGTTCTAGTAGCAACTTTATCTTTCTAGTTTTATACTTAGGTTTATAGGGAACTATATTATTAGTAATATAGATAGTGTGTATATTAATAGGACTTCCCTTATTAACACTTCCTAGATATTTTATTAGGCGTAAGTTATATATTACCTATAAAATATCTAGTATATTTATTGCAAAAATTTGTACCTATATATCTTCCTATTAGGGTCCTTAATTTAGTAACCCTACTATAACTAAACCTAAGATAATAGAGATATAGGTAGGATATAGGCGTCTCCTACTCTCTTATACTACTATATTGCCCGCCTTCCTAATTATTAATTTACCTTATAGAATATCTATAACAACGCCCTCTCTACATAGCTATAGTCTACCTAGTATTAGTTAATAGGAGAGACTAGGTACCACATAAGCTAAAAGCTAAGACTACTAACTATCTAAATTATAGTCTAATACTACTAACTATAAAATTCTTATACCCTTAGTAATTCCCTAGGTATATTACAAGGGTTGCGGGGGAATATCTATAAAGTTCCTACTAATCTATCTTGCTAACTTTTCCTTAACTACACTAAAACACTAGTACCCTAAATTAACTATTACTTATACATTCTCTACTCTACCTGATAGGAGGAGAATAAAGAAGAGGAATACGGCGGT